AGGTGTTCCGCCCACAACCGCGGCTCCGGCGGCGGACGCTGCCCCCAAACCCAAGCCACCTCCGATCGGCCCCAAGAGAGGCGCCAAGGTCAGCTACTCTAGTTCGGAAAATTGTTCATAATCTATACATATATAAAACGTAAACGTTAAGCTTATTCATCGATGAATAAGAATCCATAACATAAGAAGAAAGATGTATATCTAAGTTCTATTTTTCGTATGAAGGTTGGGTTAGTTGAGCTCTTTTTGGAACTTTTGGGGTTAATTTCGAATTTCGGAAAACTTTGGGAATCGCAGGTCAAGATTCTGAGGAAAGAGTCATACTGGTACAAGAACGTCGGTTCAGTCGTCGCCGTTGATCAGGTATTAATGCCAACGATCTGACGGTCCAGATATCGTTTCACGATTTGTGTAACATTTTCATTAACCGGGTTTGTGTAAACGGGCAGGATCCGAAGACCCGGTACCCGGTGGTCGTCCGGTTCCCGAAGGTGAACTACGCCAACGTATCTACCAACAACTACGCATTGGACGAGGTGCAAGAAGTTAAATGAGAAACCGAAAATTGTGATTTTGGTTTATCTTTATACCGGTCCCCTATTTCCTTGTAGCTTAAACCGAACCGTATGTAACAAGAGGTTGACCTTCTCTTCTTCTAATGTTGTTCTTACATTGTGAATCCTTGCTTGGTAAATCTATGGAGAAAACATTAGATATAGAATTCGGAGATATGATTGAAATGTATTAAACTCGGCCATCAAAGCCGTCGAGAAGGCCGGTCCACATTCCCTTAATCGGAGGAAGCTGTGCGACCAATGCTTGCCATGGAGGGTAACCCACTCCACTCCCACGAACACGCCCGTCCAAACGCAGTGACAGATACCTACAACACCCAGCTCTGAATACAATTTCTTTCGATAAATTTGATAATATCCTTGCATCGGTTTTGAAGATCATTCAAGAACCCATGCAAAAATGCATGAAATGTTGCAGAGAATACATATACTTACACTGGAGAGTCCGAGGAGATACTGGCAAGCTTCTTTTGCTGGTCTAACCATCTGCCAAAACAAAACCCGATGTCAGATCAGATCAGATGAAGAAGAAACCGATCAAGAACGCTGAGAAAGACTCTTACTTTGCCCATTCGAGGACGTAAACTGGATCCAGCCTCCACAGTCTCATCCTCCTCTCTCGCGTTCCATCATCTTCGACGTCGTCACTTCCCTCAAAATCAAGAACGGGTGAGTTCCCATCAGTCGCATAAGGCACTACAATCACACCTCTCTCTAAGAGCCCATCAGCGAACCCTCTGCTTCTCTTGAAGGCTTCTTCTACGAAATCCGCAGGACCCGCACAGATAACGATCCTCGCGATCCCTCTCAGATCGCCCACCGAGATTATCTTCTCCGTTGCCGAGTTCTTGACTCTCAGCTTCAGCTTGGACAGGCTCTCTTCTCTCGAAAGCCTCTCCATTTGAGCGTTCTTGGCTTTGTTCTCTCTCAGGTAAAGAAACGCAAAGAGAGATACAGCTCCGAGGTCAATGCCGAGGCCTTTGAGGATCTCAGGGGCCTCAGCTGATCTGGCCGGGTTCGCAAGGGCGCCGATCAGCTGCGACGCGGCTATCAGCCCTCCCAGTGCACCGCTCGCTATGAACGCTAGGTAGAAGAACATGCGAACTGATCTGAATGGAGAGAGAACCTCGCTACGGATTCTGGCAGTTGAGCTGAAAGGAAGGAAACGGAAACGATGGTATCGCTCGGTAAGGCAATAGTTTCCAGGAAAATGGTAATGCTTTCCCAGAAAATTGCAACACAAACACAAATCAGGTAAACGGAAAAGTCTACGTCAGCCCCCCTCCCCCCCCCCC